TGCTAATGCATCGTGGGAGGCAGCAGATGATGGCTCAGGTGCTTGGGCCCCGGCCACCCACGTGGGAGACTAGGACGAAGAGTTCTGGGTTTCTGGCTTTCGCCCGGTTGTTGGCAGGCATCTGGGGAGTGAGCCATCAGATGGAACATCTGTCTTTCTTTGCCTTTCAAGTAGAGGAAATTAAGGAGAACCACATCTAGAAGAGTAGGACTAGAGAGGTGTCCATATTCAAGCCGTACTCAGCAGGGCTGAACTGACCTCCAGTGCGGTCTGCATGGGTTCTGGGGTTCTGTGCCCGTTCTGTTGATGTTCTTTTTTTTTTTTTTTTTTTTGACAGGCAGAGTGGACAGTGAGAGAGAGATAGAGACAAAGGTCTTCCTTTTCCGTTGGTTCACCCCACAATGGCCGCTGTGGCCGGCACACCACACGGATCCGATGGCAGGAGCCAGGTACTTATCCTGGTCTCCCATGCGGGTGCAGGACCCAAGGACTTGGGCCATCCTCCACTGCAGAGAGCTGTACTGGAAGAGGGACAACTGGGACAGAATCCAGTACCCCGACCGGGACTAGAACCTGGGGTGCCGGTGCCGCAGGCGGAGGATTAGCCTAGTGAGCTGCGGCGCTGGCCCGTTCTGTTGATTTTCAAGGAGAAAGAGGGACCGCCATTCAGAAGCATCACTGTGGGCACCATGGTTCTGCAGGGCAGGAGAAGGGGAGGAACAGCGCATCCAGGCTACAATTCTAACCGATTTTACATGCTTTCTCTCCTTAAGAGAAACTAAGCCCTTTCAGTATCTCATGGCCATACTCTGGTGTTTCAGCCACCCTTTCCTAAGAATGAACATTGCAACATTGCCCCGAAGGCACAGGAATTTTCTGCCTTTTCCCCACATTATTGCCAAGTCGCTGTGCACAGTCATCAGACCATGGAAACTTCTAGCTCATGATCATGTTCCACTGATAATCAGGCCCAAGCTGCATCCCTAAACAATGAGTCTTGCCCATGCCAATGACGACCTGATCTTCCTGTCTGGAATGTCCTTCCTTCCCGACACTCCCCACCTCCATCCCTTAGTCCCTCTGTCCCACACGGCCCAGGTCCAGTCTCAGAGCCCAGGAGAAAAATCTCTGTTCACTCACCTCGACACCTCAGCCCTCGCTGCCTGTGCCACGCACACTGCACGTACTTTCTGCCTTTTTTGGAAGTGCCTTGTGCCCATGCCTGGTAGCCTCTGGCAGCCGCAGACTGTAATTTACTCTCCTTAGCGAATACCCAGCACACGGGTCTGCTTCTAAGGAGTGCTATGAGTAAATGCTCACTGGATGACTGAATGCATGAAGAAATGCACTCACTTCAGGCACTCCTGCAACGGGCAAATATTCTCTTTCTCATCTTTAAGATGCTACAACGTACCAAGGAATAGACAGACACCTTCTTCTACTGAAGAAAGTACATCTACTATGCATCCAATTTTGAAAGAACCAGTTTCCATCATATTTTGGTAATTTCTTATTTAAAAAAAATATGTTTGGCACACGCAGGGAAAGGGGAGAAGAGGGCTCGAGAAATAAGTCCCGGGTGAATGACTGCATGAGGACCTGGTGGAGGGGGTGTAGGTAATAGGAAACTGGATAAAAACAGAAACAGAAAGAGGAGATCGAAAAGGGAGACACACACAGGAGATCGAGAAAGGAAGTAGAAATGGAGAGAGGGAAGAAGGGAAGGAGATTCGAGCTTAATTAAATTCTGGTCTTCCTAAAAACCCGAACTTGGTAAGTTAACAAAGCAGAGAGGGAGCTGGGTGAGAAGAACGGGACCGTGCAGACAGACAGATCTGGATACTGATCACCCATCCGCTACTGTTTGACCCTGGACAAGTGACTCAATCTCTCCGAGCTCACTGCTTTTTGAAAAACACTTTGTGTTTGAAGTAATTTTAGATTTACAGAAAAGTTCCAAAAATAGTACAGAGAATGCCTGTGTACCCTTCACCCCGCTTCCCTGAATGGTAACATCGTTCATAATCATAATATAAGTATCAAAGCTAGGAAATTATTATTGACACCACAGCACTAACTGCAGCCTTGTTAGAGTTTCTGCAGGGATTCCAGGCGTGCCGCTGTCTAGCCCACCATCCACGGGGCTCCGCTGCTGTGTCCCGTCGTCACATCTGCTCGTCTCCTCTGGTCTCTGAAAGGTCCTCATGCTTCTCTTACCTTTCTTGACCTTGACATGACTTTGAAGAGTCGAATTCTGGGCTGCCTTGATGCTCTAAAATCATTTAGAATGAGCCCTTTTGGCAAGAACATCCTAGGGATGATGGCCCGGCCTTCCCAGGGCGTCCTCGAAGGAGGTACCTGCTGACTCGGTCATGTTCATCTTGATCGCTTGGTGTAGCCAGTGCCTACTGGGTTTCGCTACTATTCTATTTTACACTTTGTAATTGATAAACATCTTGTGGAGACATTCTTTGAGACTCTGCAAACATTCTGTGTCTCATCAGACTTACTTCACCCAAAATTATGTCAAAATTCATCAGTGGTTCCTGCCTGCAACAATTACTGCTGTTGTGTTCTGCTGATGATGTTCTATATCCATTGTTCCTTCCCCATTTATTAATTAGAACGATTTTATAAGTAAGAGCATTACCTCCTCCCCACCCTAACACTTTCATTTATTTATTTGCCATTTACTTTTATCAGTATAGATTCAAGATTACTCTATGGTCATGATCCAACACTATCATTATCTATTTGGTTATCTATGTCTCACTTTCTTCATTTACAAAACAGAGTTAATGACCACTGTCACATGGATTAAATGGGATTAAACATGTGAAAATGGTCAGTCTGGAGTATCTGTTAGGTAAATGCAAGCCCCTTTTCTTCTTTTTCTTTACAGTATATAAACCATGCTGATTTGAGGACAAGGCCATTCTAAATAGGTGAAAATCTGAATTTAGTAATTTTCTTTTTATTTATTTTTTATTTTTATTTTATTTATTTTTTATTTTTTGACAGGCAGAGTGGACAGTGAGAGAGAGAGAGACAGAGAGAAAGGTCTTCCTTTGCCATTGGTTCACCCTCTGATGGCCGCCGTAGCCGGCGCACCACGCTGATCCAATGGCAGGAGCCAGGTGCTTCTCCTGGTCTCCCATGGGGTGCAGGGCCCAAGCACTTGGGCCATCCTCCACTGCCTTCCCGGGCCACAACAGAGAGCTGGCCTGGAAGAGGGGCAACCGGGACAGAATCCGGCACCCCGACTGGGACTAGAACCCGGTGTGCCGGTGCCGCAAGGCAGAGGATTAGCCTAGTGAGCTGCGGTGCCGGCAGTAATTTTCTTTTTACGTAACTCAGCTTTTCTATCCATTGATCTATAATGCAACTAGAATTTAGCTATCCCAGTGTTACCTAATGCAGGTCATTTGGAGTCTGCCTGTAATGAGGACATAAGGCTGATTTTTAATCAGCATACTCATAATTTGTATGAAAATAGATGCTTGAGAATACTTGAAAACAGACTGTTCTCTCAAGTAGTTTAAGTGTTTTCCCAGAAATCCTGTTTATGTTCTGAAGTTGCTTAGCTAAACTATTTTCAGAGATAGTCCAAGGCATGCTTCAACCCAGCTGTGGGTCAAATCACTAACTCTGAATTAGTGAAATCACTGATTCTCCTCTGGTTCCCAAGGTTAAAATGGCAGTGAATAGAAGAAATCTAAGTTTAATTTAAAATTAGGTTTTAAAAGTTCCGGTAATTCACTTTTAAGTTCAGGTCGAATTTTAAACAAAATGACAAAAATAGGGTCCTAAGAATGTAAAAGCAAGTACATTTGTAAGTTCAAAATAATTCACAAGATACAGTAAAATCTACTATTGAAATCACTCAATTTACTGGAACTTTCGTTTTCCACTCCATTTTTATCAGAAAGGAAATCAAGAACATCAGGAGATTTATTTTTGCAAAAACAGCTTTGGGGCCTCAGGGTTTGCAAGCTCCCACGTGGCCTCCCAGAGACTCTTAATTCAGTTTGGGATGGGATGGGGAAGCTCCCCTTTCATCAGGATCCACCCCCAACATGAGCCCGATGCAGGTGAGAGGCAGGTTACTGCAGCCACCCACTGCCTGGTCGCTGGGCTTGCTCAGGTGCATGTGAATCTCAACAAGGAATTCACTTCCTTGAACCTCCATTTCCCCATTGGTAAACAGGGCTCATGACAATATCTGTCCGGCAAGGTCGTTTTGAGGAGCAAATAAGAGCTACATGTGAAATAGTTAGCATGGCAACATTAGATGGACACTAGCTATCCCTGTGCACAATGGATCTCTCTGTGAGGAATTGTATCCAGAATATATCTAGACGTAGAACTGCCCAGGCTCAGCCTGACACATTCTGCATTCACTGGGCCTTACCACAGTCACTGGCATTTACAACCACCAGCACGGTCTTGGTTGGAGAGCTTTGGAGGCTGCAGGGTAAGCTGCCATAGCTAGGTAGTGTTTAAGCAACAAAGGCCAAATGATCCTCTGTCAATCAGAGACATATGTGACCCAGAATGGAAGTCTTTCCTAAGTATTTAGTTAGATTTTCCTAAGACTGAAATAGGAAACAACTGTTTGGGCAGTTCAATCAACTAAAATTCAACAAACACATGGATTAAAATCCTGTGATGTAATATTCAAGATAAAAGAAATTAAACCTAAAACAAAATGTAGACTAGAAAATACTGGGTGTAGGGTTGCACTATGCTGAGACTACACCCCTTTAGTCCCAGAGCACAGACTGCCATGACCCCAGCATGCAGGCAACTTGTCTCTCTTTACTGTCGCTCCTCCTTTTCCCAGGGCCACAGGGATGCTAGTCATTGGCTCTGTACCTCCCAAGTGACCCAAGTCCCAGGACCTTGCACAGAGGCTCCATTATAAGAGCCCCCAGACCCTGGTCACACTTGTCCTCTTCAGAACTGACTCACACATGAAAAGATCCACAGTGGCTTCTTACCTCATTAAATCTCATCACAAGGTCTTCCAGGGCATTGCGTTCTCCATTCTGAGAGGTAAGAATCGATGCTGAGATGGATGCTTTGAGACAGGGCAGGGACCTCTGGCATTCTGGTGTGCCTAAGTCCCTGGTTAAGAAGCAAAGGTAGTCAACAGGCAAGACCTTTCGGTAGATATTCTGTTCCTGCTCTGTTAAGATGCTGGCCACTTCCTCTGGGAACTGGATGAGGGGCTGCAGATCGATCAGTTCCTTGCTGATTCCAGCTGAACTTGAAGGGAGGGCATTGGAACTGGCCATAGAGGTGCCTGGTTGGCGTTCTGAAATAAAGCAGCAAAAGCCATGGTTACACCAAGGTTGGGATCTCCTATAATAGATATTTACTTGACTGCCAGTCAAACCTTGTAGGTTCCTTGATCAAATCCTTTGCTTGGTGAATAGCTCTCTACCATCATTCTTGTCTGGGGACATTTCTGACATCTCATCCATCTCCCCAGCACTCCCTCTAGGAGATGGGAGGGGCCTGGTTTTCCATTTTCAGAAGGAGTGTTAATCTAGCACACTAGCCTCTGAGCAGGTCACCATGATACTCTGTAGAGTAAAATTTGCTTCCTTAATCCTCCTTTGCTAAACCAACAGAGTTGAAAAAAATGAGGTGAGTGTGGGCACAGGCAATTGAATGGGAAGAACCCAGACTTATGTGGTGGGGAAGTGTGTCAGTGCATGTTGTCTGTGAACATGCAGGAGACCTGGGCACCCCAGAACCCTTTGTACTCAAGGTTTCAGAACTTTATCATGTTGTGATCTTCCAAATCTCCCCCTCAGAGCCTGATTTCACTGAAAGCCACTTGGGGGTTTGAAAGAAGAGAACCACATATTAAAGTAATGAAGGCATAGGTAACAAGGAGATGTATCAAAATAAAGAAATCTTACTCCTTGGTCCATTACTGATTGCAAGAAGGTGGTAGAGGGATGTAGGAGAGAGGGTGGAGAGTGCCTTAGAGGGAAGTACCAAAGAGAGAATTCCCAGGCTCAAAATGATTCCCTGAATTGAAATGCCAAACATACTTTCTTTTTATTTTGTGCCTAGAACTGACTTACTTCATCCACTTAACCATTCATTCAACAAACTCTGAAAATTATGATAAGCTCTAGAACAGTTTCCCAAAATATGATCTTCAAACTGGTATCTGCAAGGAAAAATCTCTTTGTGTTCACCTAAGTTGGGGAAATGTCCCATACTTGTGTCCCACATCCCCTTCCTGGAGACACATGAGGCACGTGGGTACCTTGTTTAAGGCTCTGAAGGGCTTGCAGTAAAGAATCCCATTGCCCTCAAGTTAACCCAGCGTTTCCCCAGAACCACTACACCATTCCGCACAAGCAGCATCCGTGGAGCCACTTGAGAAGACGCTGCTGCGAGGCCCCAGCTGTTCTCACTTTCTATCCAGCGCACAGCTTTTCCTTCCACAGCCCCTCCCAGGTGCTCTGCTGCCCACTTCTCTTTGTGCTTCAGGAGGGCACCACATTCTATTTTCCCAGAATCTGTCTAACACCCCTGTCTTCCCTTAAAACACTGCTAGTGATTCTTTGCCAAAATAAAACCTCATTGTCTTCTGACAGCACTGTGTTACACACTGCCTACCCGTCAGCCACCCTGGACAGTGGACAACAGCAAAGTTCACAGGGATGATGCCTTAACACTCAGACTTCATATCACCCATTCACTCCCCAAATGCCCACAACAGCTGGGGCTGCGCCACTCTGACACCAGGTCCTGTAACCCAGTAGAGGTCTCCCATGAGGGTAGCAGGGACCCAAGTACTTGAGATATCACCTGCTGCCTCCCAAGGCACTAGAACCCAGGAGCTCTATTTGGGATGTGGGCATCCTCAACAGCGTCTTAACTGCTGTGCCAAACTGCTCTCATCTCTGTTACTGAGCTCTGAAGTCATCACCCCTGAACTTGACTTCCATCTTCCCTTCGACCCTCTCTAGTTAACCTTCTCCATCCTCAACAACCTTCTCCTTCCTTGGCCTTGATACGGTGCCATGGTCAGCATTTTAACACCTTGGTTTTCTCCCACATGAACTTCCTACTCCGCAAGCCTGGGCAAACTCTAATCCCCCACTTCCTCAGCTTCTGGGCCATCTTACAGTGACACTGACAATCATGCTGCTTAGTGATGGGGCCACTGCTAACTCCTGTTACCTAACTGCACAAAGGCCCCGAGGATGGCTTTAAACATGGACATGAAGTTGTTGATTTTTCCCTCAACTACCCACTGTCCCTTTTTCCTCAACAGCGTGCCTTTTGTATCTTCACTCGGCCAAAGCCACTTTTGCTTCCCATAGAGTTGTTCGATCACTTCTCAGCTTATTGTGCTGAGACAATTAAGGCCAAGTATCAGGAAGTCCTTCAATTCAATGCCTATTTCTTCCATCTTCTCCTCCTTCTCTGAGAACGCTATGTACCTCCTCCTACGACCCATCTGGGTTTGTGATTAAATCTACAGTTGTCTCTTCCAGAACTTGCTTTTGTAGTAATTGTCACCTTCAATCCCTTTCTTTCAACCAACTTCTTTGTCTACACAAGGGATCAGCTTGAATCATCACAACCCTTCCCTTCATTCTGCTCCTTCTCTGCAGGGTAGTCTACGTGTCCTGAAGTCTCCTCCTGGGGGGTGATGACCCCATCCTCTGACAAAAGTATCAAGCCCCAATGGTTTGTCCTTACTTGTAAACCAACGGGGGGTGGGGGGGTGGGAGAGGCTGTGGGAAACAAAAATGGGAACCAGGTCCATCCTGGGAGATCCAAGTTTTTTGGCCGCCATGTTGACATGGCACTGCTGGGCCCCAATGTCCTCTCCTCAACTCTCCTTCCACTGAGCAGCCCAGCTGCCTCTGAATCATAAACACAGGAAAAGCTCTTGACAGCACAGCCATTTAACCACGGGAGGTGCTCTCCTCCTGGAGGAATGCAGGAATCTCCTCCTGGAGCCACGTAAAGAGAAGTTTAATCTCCACCGATCCAAGTCTGCACTTGTTTTGCACAGACTCCAGGCAAAAACTTCTGTTTTGCCTTCCCCATAAAATCCATAATGGTATTCCAAGTATTACTTTTCTTTGATTCTAAAAGGCAAGCAGAGAAGGAAGGAATTTATTCTAGGCATTTTTATTCATCTGTTGTACAAACTACCAAAAACATCTACTGTAGCAAAAAGGGGTCCATTCCAATTATATCGGGTTCTCTCTAAATTCATATTCAAAAAAGTTATAATGAGGCAAATGTTTAAATTTAGTCTACCAGGTCTTACTTTCCAAAACTTTTTTTTTTCAAGATTTATTTATTTATTTACTTGAGAGGCAGAATTACAGAGAGAGGGAGAGAGGGGTCTTCCATCTGCTGGTTCACTCCCCAAATGGTTGCAATGGCCGGAGCTGGGCCGATCCAAATCCAGGAGCCAGGAGCTTCTTCCAGGTTTCCCATGTGCGTGCAGGGGACCAAGCATCTGGGCCATCCTCCACTGCTTTCCCAGGACCTCAGCAGGGAGCTGAACCAGAAGTGGAGCAGCTGGGTCTCGAAACTGCGCCCATATGGGATGCTGGCAAAGCAGGCTTAGCCTACTATGCTATAGCGCTGGCCCCCTCTCCAAAATTTCTTTATCTGAATGGTTTAGAAAGTGACTAGATTTCCTGAAAATTGAGTCAGAACATAGCCCAATGACAGAGGCAGTCTGGTTTCTGGATATTAATAATGTATGCACAACGGAATTAGCTGCATAGAGGAACTCTTCCCAGAAGTGATCAACAGAAACATGATTTCAAATTAATGCACTCTACAGAGGAAATGAAAATAAGTTCCAAATTTCATGAAACAGCCACTTGCCTATTACATTAAGAGGAGAGATGATATAATAAAATACATAAACAATAGAAGGTAAGATGATATATTGGAAACTGCAATATATGTTGATATGAATCACAACAGTGAGTGCAGTGGCTGGTGGGAACCAGCGATACAGGAGTCCTAAAAATGCTGAGTAAAAGTAGAAGAAGAAGCCCGGTCAGTGTAACTCTAATAAATCCAGATACCTCTTGTGTCTCAGTATGCACCCAATATCACCCTTAAAGGAAACACAAACCTAATGCTAGAAGCCTGAAATGGAGTGTAGACCTTTCATGTGGGTTTCCCTGAAGCGGGATTGCTCAGGGATTTCACACGATGTATCAAGAAAACATCCCAGAAGTCCTGGGGATGTGATTTCCTCTCTCCTTAGTTCTGCATTGTCAGCCCCTGTCCCATCGCACTTCCTCTTCCTTCCTCAGTAGCTCCTCCTTCCCCTTCCCATGCCACAGGGCCCTGGGGCTTAGCTCTGGCCTTCCTCTGTACAACATGGGACCATCTTCACTCCATCAGATTAAAGACCACGCAGTTCCATGACGCCGTATCCTCCCATCAGCAGTGGAGAAGTGTTTCTAAAAAATCCACAGGGCGGGCAGGGGGGAGGCACTGTAGTACAGTGGGTTAAAACCCCAGCCTGCAGCACTGGCATCCCATATGGGCGCCGGTTTGAGTCCTGCTGCTCCACTTCCGATCCAGCTCTCTGCTATGGCCTGGGAAAGCAGTAAGAAGATGGCCCAAGTCCTTGGGCCCCTGCACCCATGAGGGAGACCTGGAAGAAGCTCCTGACTCCTGATTTCAGATCGGTGCAGCCCTGACCATTGTGGTCAACTGGGGAGTGAACCAGTGGATGGAAGACCGACCTCCCTTCCTCCTTCCCTCCCTCTCTGCCTCTCCTCTGTGTAATGCTTTCGAATAAATATTTTTAAAAAAATAGATCTTTAGTGATCTCATGAGAATTAAATAAAAAAAAAATCCACCGGACACTGTAGTTGTTCTCTTGTGAAAGCATTTTTAGAAAATTTCTGGCTGGTGCCGTGGCTCAATAGGCTAATCCTCTGCCTGTGGCGCCGGCACCCCAGCTTCTAGTCCTGGTTGGGGCGCCGGATTCTGTCCCAGTTGCTCCTCTTTCAGTCCAGCTCTCTGCTGTGGCCCGGGAGTGCAGTGGAGGATGGCCCAAGTGCTTGGGCCCTGCACCCATACGGGACACCAGGAGGAAGCACCTGGCTCCTGGCTTCGGATCAGCGCAGCGCGCCAGCCGCAACGCACCAGCCACTTGGGGGGTGAACCAACGGAAAAAGGAAGACCTTTCTCTGTCTCTCTCTCTCACTGTCTAACTCTGCCTGTCAAAATAAAAAGAAAATTTCTGAACAACCAGTGTGTGGTCTCAGCTCATGTTCTTCAGCTAACCATTCT